AGCTATTGCCTCAGCATGGCAGCCGCTGTCTATGTTGCTGACGTGGAGCGCTTTGCACCTTACACGGGAACCACCGCGTAGGAGACCCTGTGTTGACTTCTTTGTCTTGTGGAAGTATGATGTGACTGAACTGTGCGTGTACGGTGTGGTGTTTGGTCAGCTGGGCGTTGGAATAATGGCGGTGGAGTACTACGGTGTGGCAGGCTCATCAGTTGGGTGCTGTAGAGCGGACGAGTGTTTGTTAGCCTTTGTTCAAACTGTACGGGTACGTTGGGATTCAAATGCTGCTGCTGTGAACGTGGGGCTGGTGCTACGGTGGAATTAAAATGCTGTGGATCGGATGGAGAACTACTCGTACATGTAGGTTCATGGTGATCAAAAGGCATACCGGTAGGTTAGGTGGGCGGGATAGGTGCGTGGGTTTGTGATTTTAAACTAACGTCTGCTAGCTGGCAACGGAGAGACTCAACTTCCGCTTTCAAGTCTACAATGGCGGACATCTGGCGAACTAGTTCCTGCACTGTCTTGGCCAACTCATCAATGCCAGGACTTGCTTGCCTATTACTAGTAGTATGTACATGTGACGGACCTGCATAATACCGATCGCTTGTTGGCGAAGCAGGCGGACCATGGCAGCACGGTTCATAATGCTGTTGACCGAGATTTCATTTTTCTTGGCCAGGTCACGAAGTTCGTCAAAGCCGAGGATGGCAAGGTGGGCATCAGATAGATCCTCAGACATACTATGTCCACTACTACAGATTAACCATACGTGGAAACTAGTGGAAATTAACAGCTTAGTCATACTCTGAAAGTCCGATTAATGAGGAACAACGGAATTTGCATCCATGCAGTTCGGATAAATAAGCATGTTCAAAGAGAAGGTTCACGGAGCAAAAGGTATTAATGACATTCCAACACCCCTGTGCCCACCCATCCAAGCTGATAAAAATGATTTGTACTTGACAGCTTCGTACTTTTTATCTTGCCGTACGTGTTGGCTGCGGTCATCTTCCCTTCAAGTATTGGGGTGGAGCTATTCCTGTCTATGTCTCGGTGTGCTCCAGTGTGCATTTTTTTTACAAAACAATACAGCCCTACTAATAATCAGGGAGAGAGGACAACTGAAATGACACTGGACAACAAGATAAAGGGGAGAAGGGGCGATGTGCCGATGTGGTTGGCGAGTCTCATCCGACCGGAGGTCTTGGAATCATAGCCTACGACCAGGCATCGATATGAATGCAGCTAGGGAGGGAGGGAGATCAAGTGAGAAAGAGAGAGAGAGAGAGAGAGAGAGAGAGAGAGAGAGAAAGAGAGAGAGAGAGGGAGAGAGAGAGAGAAGGGGAGAGAGAGAGAGAGGGAGAGAGGGAGAGATAGATAGATAGAGAGAGAGAGAGGGAGAGAGGGAGATAGATAGATAGATAGATAGATAGAGAGAGAGAGAGAGAGAGAGAGAGAGAGAGCCAAGAGAATAAATACAATAAAATAAGAAAGAGATGAGAAGAGAAAAAATAAAACAAGAAAGAGATAATGGACGAGGGTAGTTACAAGGCACCGATAACATCAGATTATTGCGTGGAAAGACTCACTGCGAACCAGAGGACTTTGTGGTCATCAGTGGGAATCTGGCCCAGGTGCACCACTGGGAGGCCGGACTTCACCCATACAGCAATGCCGCCACCAAATGCATCACGGTCACGTCGAATGGGAGGCGAGTATCCTGGAAACATTGTATCAGAGGCTACCGTCTGGGCCGAGAACTTCGTTTCTGTCATAACCGCTATGTCGACGTTATCGTTTAGCAGTGCATCCTGCAGCTCTCCCAGCTTGTTGGTGAGGCCAAATGCATTGGTCACCAGCCAGCGGAGCGGCGGAGCTGCACTGATCATACTATTGTGTATCAGCGACATGAAAAAGAAAAGAGAAGGCACTATGAGGAGCGAGTGAGGCAGGTTGAGCAAGCCTCATTTGTTCCGGCGGTCATGTCAGCCGATGGCGGAATGGGTCCGGCATCAACAGCACTGTACAAACGAATTGCTCATCTGTTGGCGGAGAAGAGGGGTGAGCATTACTCTCCTGTTATGGCATTTGTTAGATGCAGGATTTCCTTCAGCCTTCTGAAATCCTGTATCATGTGCATTCGCGGTTGTAGGCGTTTAAATTTTGGTTTGAAATTTGCACCCTCCTGCGGAGCCCACGCTGCTTTGGCAGTGGCGGAGGCTCGCTTGCCGACGTAACCGTCGGAGATCATCATGAACAATGGACTGACTAATTATTCACTTGCCCTGTCTCTATAAAAACATGTTATTGCATATGTTCTTGGTTTAGTTTTTGGCCTTTTTCGTGCTGTGGAGTTGATAACATTTTCCTCACTATTGAAAAAAAAAAAATCATTGCGGGGTGCCAGCAGATGCCGTGCTGTCGCTATCAGCGCTGTCAGCACCATCAAGTATAGGGTCACCTCTCGCAGCGCCGGCAAGGAGTTGTCGTTTGGGCTTCGGACGGTCTCGGTACTCCCACGGCCGGGCGTATAGAGGCCTTGGCCAGAAGTCCGGAGTTGTCACGAGGCTCAGGTCTGTGGGATCTATACCGATCCTAGCTGACACCTTTCCTGTCTGCGTTGTGTGGATGCTGCTGTTGTGAACACTGGCCGTTGATCCCACTGCCTCAGCGCGCCGCTTCACGAAAGTTTTGATACTCTCTTCCGAGCAGTTTGTACCCAGGTTGCCCAAAAAGATTACTGTTTTCTTGGCCCTGGGGGGTTCCTGTGCAACTAATTGCCCGCTGTCGTCAGCAAAAGATGTCCAGAGTCAGGGGCTCGTTGTCGTCGTCCTCCAGCTCCAAGTTGCGCTGGCCAGCATGCTGCACGTCGCCCTCATCAGTCGTGGCCCGCGTGGCATCCTGGGACTGGTCCCGCGTGGCATCCTGGGCCTGGCCCCTGCGCATTATGGGTACGGGTACGCCGTCGACACTGCGGAGTACGAGTTCTCTGGGGTTCGTGAGCTGTGGCAGGCCGAGGAGAAGCAATGGCGGACTTCCTGAGGGCGACAGCCTCCTCGTTCAGCCCTGCAATTTGCCTCGATAAGTCGTCAATTCTGTTATTTAGGCGTTCCTCGCGGTCTGCGGACTCCGTTACCAATGCTACTAACGTCTTCATCACATCTACTACCGACGACTCGATCCCGGGGAGGGGGCACAACAGCTTTACCTCGAAATCCGCCAGCCCACGAACGGCAGATTTAGTTGGAGGCATGGCGGAGGTGACCCAACACTATCGGATGCCTACCTAGTTTTCTACTACTACTACAAACTAATACGTAAATCCTAATGTTTGAAACCAGGCCGGCCTGATGCCGGTGTTCCTGGCGAGAAACTGTGGGAGCCTCAGAGCGCGAAAACCTGCACCCTGCTCCAAAGTTTGAAAATAGGAACATGTATGGGGAGCGAGAACGAATGCAATTGCACCCGCGATTGAAAAGTTTGCGCGTAGCCGCACTGACCACCCTTCCCTACCGGAAGTGATTTGAAACAAACATTTTAACTTCTCTATAATAAAGCAATACAGGCACAAGCATGTCATACGCCTGCCGATTGGTGGAATTCAGTAGTGATCAGTTACTAGCGATGTTGCTTGTTGACCGGTAGAAACGAAGTGAGTGCATCATGTAATAATTATTCACTTTAGTATAGTTCCTTAAATGTAGTCTCGTTTCCAGCTCCTAAGGCTAAGGAACAAGCGCGGAGAGTATGGTCTTGATTATTAACGTGGCTGTCACAAACACCTTAGCACTCTCATCGCAAGTCGAGAGTGACAAAGCTATCGGTACATACCCGCCATACTTAACACGTACTTGTAGGAATGCTCAGAATGTTCTAAACTGTAACAACGTGCTCTAACAGCCACTTGAAACGCCGGCAGTGTATGCCTTCTTAGTATGAGAGTCACATGATAACATGGCTACGATTAGCATGCCCTGACACGCGCAGCATCAGATAAGGAGATCGTGGATAGTTCTTCAGTTAGGCCGCGGTCACACCGAGCTCGATTCAGCCGTTCAGCCGAAACAAGCGCTTGTTTACGTCACTATTACCATGGAAATGGCTGAAAAATGTCCTACAAGCGACTTTCAGCCGTGGCTGACTCTCAGCCGTTTTTTTCCGGCTTGTTTCAGCCACAGCTTGTACAAGCGGCTGAAAGCCGAAATTCAAAAAATAATTTGAGTGCGCTTGGAGCTCCGGAGCACACCATGTTACATGTAGCTAGTTGACATGATGAACTGATATTGATGTTCTTTCTTGTGTCCGTGGAACCGTGCTATCCCTGTGCCTTTGGTTTTGACCGTGAGTCTGTCTACCCCAACTACACTGTATTCAGTTTGATTTGGATTTTGTCCGACGACCATGGATTTCTGCCGCTGTGCCTCTAGACTGCTGCGTAGATTGTTGGAGCTGTGGTTTGAGGCCAAGACAAGGCACCACACTCACGACCGAATTCATGAAGAAAGCCGGGTACGAAGAAGAGAGTGGATTGCAACCGAGTTCAATAACGGCAACCGGCGGGGCAGAAAGCTCGACATCAGGAAACACCACCTGAACCATCGCGTCCATGCACACCGAACAAATAAAAAGAGCACGACTTCGCAATTCAGAATCCGGGCTTCCTTTGCTTCTTGTTCATCAAAACTGAACACTAGAACAAGTACAGTTTTCGATCGCGAACGTTCTACTCTCCAGTTTCTTGCAAACATTGGTGTGTTTCGAGATATTCAAAATTTGGCGGGTAAGAAAAACAAGCCATTCAAGCTTTGCACTCAAGGTCTGGTGTGACCGCGTCACAGGGATCACGCAAGCCAGCTGAGCGCCAGCGATAACAAGCCCAAAGTGGCTTGTTTTGGTGTGACCGGGGCCTTAGGGGACACGGCTGTAGTCAGCTACACAGGGTCTAGCGGGGAGAGTTACATTCTACTTGCGAAATGCTGATACATTCAGTCTTCGGAGCAAATACCACGTTGCAACGTCTCGCGAAGCAGCAGGAGAACGAGGAAGAATAGTTGAGTGACATTATCTGAAGCGTCCGAACATATATATGTATATGTGCGTGTAGCTCTGTGCACAATGCGAGGTTAGTACTTAGGAGAATCACCCTATGGTTAGTTCGAACGTGCTCAGCTGTCTCGACTATACAGCATGGTACACGTCTAACCATGCCAGTATTTCATATCAATCCCCACAACCTCAAAAGGTCTATTGCTACTTGACCGTTTTTAAACCGTTTTCAGAATACCTTGTTGGAGGAGTGCTTGCAGAACGTTGAGAAAGAACGAGCGCCATGCGGCGTTTACTTGTAGTCCTTCTGCTCGACTGCTGCACCTCACTAGCTGTCGCTGAGTTCGGAGCGAGCAACCTGAAAGGACTTGTGACCATCCGATCGGATAGCGACAGCGCAAGCTTCTCTGCTGACCAGAGTGAAGACAGTGAAGACAGTGCAGACAGTGAAGACCATGTCGATAATGAAGTTCAGCTCCCAATGCCGATGGAGGGTTGCTTTCTCACCCAAACGTGCGAGACAAGTGTCAATGCCATTCGAGTAGAGCAACCAACGGAATTTGATCTTATTCAAATGGCTTTCAATGCACTACCTGAAAGGAATTTGCTCTTTAACAGTGCGAATACAATCGTGGACCAGCAAGATGCTGTGCTGAATATGGGTGTTTTGGCCAGCGACGTTGATTGCTTCATGTCGCAGGATACGCAGTCACCGTTTGCCGCACTAGCCAAGGAAAGTCTCGGATTCTCTGTCGTTCGACGAACCACGGGCCCTGTGACTTCGTTCAGCTACACCTACACAAACCTACCGTCTTCGTTCGGGACACTCAGAGTGGGATTCATATTTTCATCTTTTACTGGAGTCACTCAACCTAGACCCCAGTACCTGTCGGTGGAGGGTGATTTCCGTGAATTCCGTGAATTGGAGATTGGAGAGGTAAGGAAATACGCGTTATATAACGCGTTATATAACGATAATACGTTATCGTTTTTCATATTTGAGGATTCCCCAAAGACAGTCTAAATTGAAGGGAGTTCCATTATAATGGGAGGCTGTAGGGTGGATGGCTAATTAACAGCCTAGCTAGAAAAATACAGAATATGCTGAATATGTAAAAAGGCGACGTGGAGACAATAATCTTAATAATGCAATGAATATAACTAAATGCGCACTCATATCCCAACCATGGGGACGAATCATGTATTCCAGAACGTTTTCTTGTCACAATTATCAATGGAATTCGTGACTAAAGAGAATGATGAAACTTCAATAGAATTTATACACTTTGAGTGGAACAGCGAGGATACAAGCATAGTAAGAAAAATAGCACAAACCTAGGAACAATTTGCACAGGTAATAAACTATAGGTGAAGTGAGAAATGATAGGAAATTCAGCAAGTGCAGTGTGACAATGGACATGCATGTGCAAGTGTGTGTGAGTGCAAATTTACTGGAATAGCGTAAGTGCGGTGACATTTTCTTTTTGTTTACAAAGATTTGGATCACGAATGCGAATGTAGACTGCTTCTAGAACTTTCAACTGCTTGAAACTACTTGCAGAACGAACAACACTGAACCAAGAATCATCAAAACTTTCACGACACACGGGGTTAGACAACAAATGCAATTTAATTGCCGATGTATTCTTCTTCTTCTCACCGCTTCCGCCTTCACTTGGTTTCTGACCGCCACCGTCCTTCACACCATCTGCACCATCATCGTCATCATCGTCATCGTCCTCTTCATCATCGCTGCCACCTTCACCTGTCGTCGGCTCTCCCAGCAACTGACCACCGGGTCCATCATCGTCACTGCACACGTCGCTTCCACACTCCTCCTCCAGCTACCGTCGCGTTCTTGTCGCGTTCTTGGGTCCGGTCCTAGCCAATGTGTTTGTTGGGTACTGTGAATCGAAGATAGATAAGTGGCCGGAATTGTACGTCAGGTTTGTGGATGACTCCTTCACGTACTTTGATTCGAGAGCAGATGCTGACGACTTTCTGCTGAAACTGAATACAATCCATCCTGCACTGAGATTTACGTGTGAACATGAAGAGTCCAATAAGCTATCGTTTCTGGATGTGTTAGTCGAAAAGACCCAGACTGGTGTATTGACTACAGTATACCGTAAACCCACTTTCACCGGGCAGTACATGATGTTTGACTCGTTTTGCTCTTCCCAGTACTAGTCAAACTTAGTTCGTAACCTTGTAAATAGGGCAAAACGCATTTGTTCACCAACAAAGCTACAACAGGAACTTGATTTTCTACTCTCCGTATTTGTGAAGAATGGCTACCCGCAGCAGCTCCTCGACAAACTTCTAACAACTACACCTGTTGTTAAGGAACGACCTATCGGACCGTTGCCGTGCCGCGTATTTCTTTGCTTGCCCTGGAAAGGGAAATAATCGAAGGACACGGCCCGTGTGGTGAAATCCCTAGTGGAGAAAACCTACTTTGCCACCAATGTGGTTACCTTGTTCACTACGATCCGTTCGTTCACAATGTTGAAGGATGTCCTACCAACCCTACAATTGAGTCACCTCATTTACCACTTTGAATGCCGACAATGTGGTAGTCGGTATGTTGGTAGGACCCTTCAACATCTGTCCGAACGTATCAAACAACACGTGCCGCTCCCAATATTATCACAGGCGGCTAGGTCCTCCCGACCAAAGCGTCGCCGACCACGTAAGCACCCGACTCCACTGTCCGTTCCGGCAGAGGCTTCTGCTCCACAAACGGTATCTCGGAAAAACCAACACAGCACGCAGAAATCGGGAACAAACATTAATGTAAACAAAGACGAACACTGTGTCTTATTTTCATTATCAGCGAGTACCGGTACGCCGGACGCAGACAACCGCAACTCACCAAAGCTGAGAAGGAGCAAACGGCTGGCGGGAGCTCGGTTTGCAGAGGTGAATGGAAAGATGCATCGAAACTCTCCGGATATGGATGATGCCAGCGGAAGAGTTGACGACTGTCAGGTGTTTGGCAATGGCACGGGAAGACCGGTCAGGAAGAGAACGCGACGGCAGCTGGAGGAGGCGTGTGGAAGCGACGTGTGCAGTGACGATGATGAACCCGGTGGTCAGTTGCTGGGAGAGCCGACGACAGGTGAAGGTGGCAGCGATGATGAAGAGGACGATGACGATGATGACGATGATGGTGCAGATGGTGTGAAGGAAGGTGGCGGTCAGAAACCAAGTGAAGGCGGAGGCGGTGAGAAGAAGAAGAAAAACTTGTACGTTTTGGAGCTTAAGACAAAGAAAACGAGCGAGCAAGCTGAATGTTGTGTTGGACAATTTTTTGGCACTGTCGTTTCCTTCTATCCTGTTCTGCGTCATGTTGTTAAGAGAGCATGTCTAAGAAAACCAGAAAAGCTGGGCTGGGTTATCTCTGTGATTTCGTTCAAATTTTGCAAGTAGGTTTCTTTTGGGGTCTAGAACGACCATGCAAAATGACTCGTTCCATAACAGACGGACACCTTGGAACTGGGGACCACCTCCAAATGGGCCCAAAATACGACTGAATATTGGGGCCAAAAACGAGCGCTGGTATAACTTACACGATTGAGCTGAGAATAAACCACCTCCATGCCAACATTACCTCACCTGAGTAGTCCTCACATCACCACCACATACAGCCATGGCTACATCCAGGAAAGCAATAACCATCATCTCCAAATATCACTAAATTCCATCGCTAAAATAGCCGAATTTCAAGGGCCATAGGGGAACCATTTACGACGTCTATTTTTCTGAACCATCCACTGCAGGACAGTGGACTATCTCCAATTCAACCCAGGATATGTCTCGTAAAAAGTGTTCCACGTTTTCTGGAAATATACAAATTTGAATATTTACACTTCACGACATTGCAACACTGCCAATTTCCTACCCCACGACGGAAAGCGCCTCCTCAAGCTTCAACACCAGGCACCGCTCCAGACGCCAGCACGCCAAACACTGCAGCGTGGTCACCTCTACCGAGTCTGACAAGAAATTTGAACTGACAGCCCTTGTCACTCCAAACAACAACCATTTCCTTCCCTGAACGACTAGAATTTCACTAGCAGGTAAAGCTCTGCAGAAGTTCCAAAAATATTGAGCAAATCTCGATTTGTGCGATCGAAGCACGATATTTTTGCGTCCTGAAACTGGCCGTGTGCCGACCACCGCGTGACATAACAGATCGACGGATTTGATAGAGTTGATCGACAATCAAGATCAGAATCAAATCTAGACGATCAGGTTGATCAGCAACATGATTTTTACGATCCAATTATGTATGATGGCATGCTGCTTGAGTGAACCATGAAGAGGCACGACTTCACGATATGGGATCTAGCTGCAACCTGTTTTCCAGGCACTCACGCGACATTTCGGCCACGTAGGGTTTGAGCACGTGCTTTTCAGGTGCACTCCGGAGAGATCGACCTTTTGGGTACAGAAATGTCTCCACGGCTATTTCGTGTGTCTGGTAAGTAACAACATTAGTTGGTCGTGTGTTTCGTGCGTTTGTTTTAGGATGCCAACAGAAATTTTGTGTAGCGCGCATGGATGACATCTGTTGCCGGAGCGACATAGCTCGACAAAGAGAACACTGGTGAATTCTATCGACATAATGTCTCCATTCCCACCTGATCAATATTCCTGCAACCAGATAACGTGATGGGCTCAACACATTATTGTGTTTTGAGCATAGTCATCCGAGTCCTAGAAATCGAATTTTCATTACGAGCTGAATTTCAAAATATCCTCCTTGTCAGGTCGATGAAGTCGCGCTGAGACCAAACTCTGCGTGGTCAACCAGCCCTTCTGCATTGTCACTGAATTAGAGTGTCGACCTTTTGGAGACAAATAGTTGCTCGACAAGAAAATTACAACACGCAGACTTACGCTCGCTCCTCACCGAACCTGAGGAAAAACCCCACCTCCCTGCGTGTTGCGAACTCCGGCAACTCAGGTAAATGTACGCAAATATCGTGTTGCTGATCAGCCTTCGTCATCCAGACTTTGATTCTGATCTTGATTGTCGATCAACTCGATCAAATCCGTCGATCTGCTATGTCACGCGGTGGTCGGCGCACGGCCAGTTTCAGGATGCAAAAATATCGTGCTTCGATCGCACAAATCGAGATTTGTTCAAAACATTTCTGCACTTCTGCAGAGCTTTGCTGCTAGTGAAATTCGAGTCGTTCAGGGAAGGAAATGTTTGTTGTTTGGGGTGACAAGGGTTGTCAGTTCAAATTTCTTGTCAGACTCGGTAGAGGTGACCACGCTGCAGTGTTTGGTGTGCTGGCGTCTGGAGCGGTGCCTGGTGTTGGAGCTTGAAGAGACGCTTTCCGTCGTGGGGTAGGAAATTGGCAGTGTTGCAATGTGGTGAAGTGAAAATTGTCAAAGTTGTTTATTCCCATAAAGACTGAAACACTTTTTACGGGTCATGGCGTGGGTGGTAGTGGAGGTAGTCCACTGTCCTGCAGTGCATGGTTCAGAAAAATAGACGTCGTAAATGGTTCCGGCTATGGCTCTTGAAATTTGGCTATTTTAGAGATGGAATTTAGTGATTATTATTATTATTATTATTATTAATTTCAAATTTGGACGTCGCGGAGAATTTTCAAAGTGTTTGGAAATTTGAGGCCAACTGAGCTACAGTATGACTCTTATCCACAGTGATGGTAAATCTATCCTTCTTCGATCAATCAATATCTGGCTTGCATCGTACTGGTGCCGGTACCGTGGCGTGACTGATGATTTTTCTTTCTTTCATATCTGGCTTGCAAGTGTTGAGTTTCGGAGAAAAAAGAGCAGTACGTGGCATGTGGCCTCAAATTTTCAAACACTTTGAAAATTCTCCGTGAAGTCCAAATTTGAAATTGCAATTTGTTGTTTGCTCGCAGTGGACATAGGTTGATGCGCTCCCCATGA